TGAAGTCTTGGTCAAGATTGAAAATAACGAGAGTATACTCTATATTTCAAAAGACTGGGTACAGGAATTAATTACCATAAGCAAATTGGTATTTAAAAGAATACGAGTACTGTCTCGTTTGAACTTTTACGAGTACTACGATAGAATATTGTATTTGACTATACATGAAAATTTGCTGGAAGACGCCAAAATCTTTCCGCATATAGAATATTTATGTTCTACAGAAGAGAGTGAGCAGAGCTACTGCATGGAAGACTACATGCGTTTTGGAAAAATGCAGATAAAACAAGATATCATCAAAAGGATAGCATGGGACATACCTCTGTTTTAATAGAAATTTACCTGTAAACTAATAATAATAAATGTTTTTTTAAAATTCAGTGTGTGTGTATGTTTTATCCTTACCCCCATAAAAAAAAGTAAAAAAAAAACAAGTAATTGCGTAAAATAACTTTATTAAAGAAAAAAAAAATAACAACAAAATATAATCAAACAAAACATAGTACCACTGGAATGAAACCTTCAGAAATTACCCCAACAACGGAGATTCTCGCACATAATTTACCAAAAAAAAAATTTGCAGTGGAAAAGTCAAAGTTCAAAGCTGGCGATGCAGTGAGCATAAGTCGCACAAAATCGGTTTTTGACAAAAGCTATGAAATTAATTGGACACCCCGAAAATTTCAAGATTGTTAAAGTAAGTGGTTCCTTCCCTCTTACGTATCTTTTGGAAGATATGGAGGGGCGTTAAATCAAAGGTTCGTTTTATGAAGTCGAATTACAAAAACCGTACTACCAAATAGTCGATCGATGGTCCACTGCAATTTTTTTTTTGGTAAATTATGTGCGAGAATCTCCGTTGTTGGGGTAATTTCTGAAGGTTTCATTCCAGTGGTACTATGTTTTGTTTGATTATATTTTGTTGTTATTTTTTTTTCTTTAATAAAGTTATTTTACGCAATTACTTGTTTTTTTTTTACTTTTTTTTATGGGGGTAAGGATAAAACATACACACACACTGAATTTTAAAAAAACATTTATTATTATTAGTTTACAGGTAAATTTCTATTAAAACACAGGTATGTCCCATGCTATCCTTTTGTTGATATCTTGTTTTATCTGCATTTTTCCAAAACGCATGTAGTCCTCCATGCAGTAGCTCTGCTCACTCTCTTCTGTAGAACATAAATATTCTATATGCGGAAAGATTTTGGCGCCTTCCAGCAAATTTTCATGTATAGTCAAATACAATATTCTATCGTAGTACTCGTAAAAGTTCAAACGAAACAGTACTCGTATTATTTTAAATACCAATTTGTTTACGGTAATTAATTCCTGTACCCAGTCTTTCGAAATATAGAGTATATCCTCGTTATTTTCAATCTTGACCAAGACTTCACCATCACATTGTAGACAGCTGAGTTTGAAGCAGGTTAAATACATAACTTTACCAGTCGGACCTGCTAACAATAACAGTGGAAGCTGTTGTATTAATTCTGTGAAGTCTATCTCGTCGAACGAAATGCTTCTTTTCTCCGACAAAACGTAGGGGAGAAAGCTCACTTTCACTGCCGGAGCGAAGATTCTTGCTGGGCTAAGACCTGAGGTAATTTGTAGTCCGAATTCCGGCAGCGTAATTGCTGCCTCGTAAATGTATTTTTGTTCGCGGATTATTTCCGCATTGACCACAAATCTTCCCCACGAATCCAATGCTTGCGTTGGATAATTTTCGACTTCGGACATTTTTCTCACTCTGCACTTATCACGAAATTGTATGAGTGGAAACTGAATAAAAAATTAAAATTTCTTATAGCTTATATATGTATAACCCCCACCCGTTCCCCAGATCCAAAGCGAACGCCTCACATACTTGTTTCGACAGGAAAAAACCTCACGGAGAACCTCCATCCATCCCGCTTTTTTTTAGACAAGCTCTGACAAGAAAAAAGTACGTATCAAATAATGCGCCATTTTAAATGGGGACATATTATCAATAGTGAGATAATTTATAAACTATTTATATTAAGATATACCTTTATCCTCTTTGCAAATAATTTTCTACTCGCTCACAGGTAGGATCATGAAGATCCTTCAATATTTTGTTGCACCAGGTATTTAGCTTAGCCTAGAATTCTTTTGAAAAATTATTATTATTTTTAAAAAAAAGGCGCGCGCTAGATCAGTTGCCGTTTCAGCGATATTTCCTTGTTTCCCGTGTCGGAGTTTATCTCTTTTCTTTTGTGCATATTCTTGTTTCATTAAATCTTGATTATCTTTTTATGCCAATTTTGACGATCATCTAATTTTTTTGTAACTAAAATTAATTCAATAGAAACAATTAAGGCGAGATGATGCCCGGGAGCTGTTGTATTAGGTATGAAAAAGTCAATTTGGATGAAGGAGATGCTTCTTTTGTCCCGACAATGTAATAAACCTGTCTAACCATAGCAAAATGGGGGCCAAAACTGTGACACTAGGCGAGAGTATGCGTTATTTGGAAGTTATATTTTAAAAATCCTTTGCAAAATATTCACGGGCAGGGTGTCAAGGCGTCAATTTTTATAAAAATCGGAGGTCAGTGTCGGAGAAATAAGGGTTCTCTTCCCTTTTCTCCTCGTCTGTTTTTAACTTCGTTTTGAGTAATTTGTAATAATTTGAGAAAAAAAAATCAGTACCCAAAAATGGACACATATTTGCAAGCAAAACAAAAAATAGGATACAAAAAAAACTATAAAATATAGGCGCCAATGCAGGCAATAGTTTAAATACGTTAAGTTACATTTTTAAACATAAATTCAGATTTTCGGTGGCAATATAACTCTATTTTTCGTGTTTGTTAAGATTTATATACATAATATCAAACCCGCCTTTGGAAACGTCTGGTTAAGGCCACAGGCCATTAGCTTCTAAATAAACGCGAGATATTATGAAAACCGAAAAAGTTTGAATGGAATCTAACGTTTCCTTTTGTTTCTCAAAATAGTAATTAAGCGGAAAAGTACTCGTAGTATATTGATTAATTGTAGAAATGTCTCATTTTCTACATAACAACTTAAGTTAAATAAAAATGCAAATTAAATTATTATAAATTACCGCTTTGTTGTATTCGCTATTTACTATGCCCCAACCTACGACGACACTGGAGGGTAGCTTAAAATTTGACCTGCTTGGTTTACCTGCCTTTCGTAGGAATGCGGGTTGTTTCACGTGTCAGTCGAAGTTTAAAGAAGAGTTTGTGTTAAGGGTTCGTTTCTGTTATCCACGTTTGTTGCTTAATGCAATATCGCCAACGAGTTTAAGTTTTGTGTTCATTGTGTGTTTCATATACGGATAAATAAAACAAAAAAGACTGGAAAAAGATAGGTAAGAAGCTTTCGGAATTGCGACTTTAATGAGTAACCGCGTAACATTCTGACCTAGTATTATGTATATGTTCGACGAGGTTTCTATACTTAATTAAAAAAAAATTGGGGAGTGATCAAAGGAGGCTGAGGTCGGAGATACGGATCTTTTTTAGTATCCATTTTTGTTTAATAAAACAACCAGAAATGCTCGCTTACGTTTTTGAAGTAGGTAAAAAGGAAACAGAATTTTAATAGAAATAACGCACGATATATCTCCCAAAAAAATTCAGCCTTATGAACAACGCGAAGAAGTTAAGCAGATAAAATTTTACAAGATTTTTGGGGACAAAGTGTAAATTCGGATTGTGGAAAGTAACAGATAGAGAGAATGAGTTACCTATATAGAAAAAGAGAGACAGAAAGGTAGATTTATTTAAACGTTTCTCAATCATCCACCCATCGGAGATAATAAATAACATTCGCTAGTTTTTTTTTGCATGTATTGGGTGAAGTTCGGAATAGAAATATATCAATAGTAACAATTTAAATTTGGTAATTTTTGGGGATTGTCATACGTCCGCCAGCGTATTAAAAATATGGCTTTAGGGGTTAGAACTTTTTAAGTTTCAAGAAAACAAAAACTCATGTTGAAATTTTTGTATTCGGAAGCTTCTGTTGTTTATTAATTTATAGACACTGAAAAATATAATAATAAAACATCCTACAGTTGACGATACGTGTCCTCTTAAACTCGAAAAGAGCTAATTTATCTTAGAAGAGTACGTATTTTTGGTAAAATAGATATTTTTTATATTAAATATTTGACCGATCGATGTAATTCGTCAAGCAGAAACCGAGAAGAAAAGTGGCGCTTGTGCTGTTTGCTGACAATCCGACCCTGCTTCGTGTACAAATGCAAAGACATTTCGGCAGGGCTATAGGCTACGAAACCTTTCAAACTCGAAAAGGACGAACTTTTTTAAAGAAAAAAGGTACTTCATTTTTGGTAAAAGTTATAGATAATTTTTTTTTACGCTAAATATTCCACAGATCGATGTAACTCGTCAAGCAGAATCCGAGAAGAAAAGTGACCGGGGGTGCTGTTTGCTGACAATCCGACCCTGCTTCGTGTACAATTGCATAGCGGGAAGACCTGAAAGATTTCGAAACTGCGTGCGTGCGTGGAAGGCTGCGTTGGAGCGAATTTTAAAAATTACTGAAAGTCCAACGATTTTGGACAATTGGCAGACGATATAGACTACGAAAAATTCCGAACTCGAAAAGGAGGAACAAATTTTAAAGAAAAAAGGTACTTCATTTTTGGTAAAAGTAATAGATAATTTTTTTTTTACGCTAAATATTCCATAGATCGATGTAACTCGTCAAGCAGAATCCGAGAAGAAAAGTGACCGGGGGTGTTGTTTGCTGATAGTCCAGCCCTGCTTCGTGTACAAATGCATGGCGGGGAGACCAGAAAGTTTTCGAAACTGGGTGAGTGGAAGTCCGCGTTGGACAAATTTTGAAAATATCTGAACACACGTGTCCTGTTGAACTTGAAAAAGACGAAATTATTTTTAAAAAGGTATATTGTTGCTAAATAATAGTTTTTTTTTTTATTAAAATATTTGACAGATCATGGTAACTCGTGAAGCAACATCTCAGAATTGAATCGGCGAGTTGTGTATTTGCTGACAATCCGAGCCTGCTTGGATCATTTTGGAAGATACATACGCCGCGCTTTTCAAAGCGGACAGACGTGCCCTTGTCCAACTTGACAAAGGCGGAATTATTTTAGGAAAGGTATATTATTTGTAAAAAAATATACAATTTTTTAAGTAACATATTTGACAGACCATGGCAACTAGTAAAGCAGAATCCGAGAATTCAATCGGCGGCTGTATGTTGACTGACAAGAATATAATTGCTGTTAATCCGGCCCTGCTTCGTGTACAAATGCATAGTGGGGAGACATGAACATTTTTCGAAATTGCGGCCCTATCCTCTTGGGATTCTACGTTGGACAAATTCTGAAAACGACCCCAGAAATATAATTGGTGAGAAAATAGTTTTTTTTTTGTGTTAACAGTTAACAATTTTTTTATTTTGGAAATAAGGGGTTTCAGTATGTACTGGTATTAGTGAATCAATTTAATGACCTCAGCATCTCTAAACCCCCCCCCCCCCTCTTGAGACGCGTTAACGATCCGGATCGAGTTACGTCGCGTAATTGTGTCACTTTTTTAATTAAAAAAATGAAAGAGATGTACCTACCATACTTTAGAAACCCCTACTCCCCTTAGGAGGTGATGAAATAAGTTTTGGCAAAAAATATAAGTTCCTCATATTACTTTGATATGATAAGTATAAGTCTTGCCTGTTTTTTTTTTTAAAGGAGGTTCAAACCCGTGCGAGGTGAGCTTTCATATATGAAACAGACCAGTCATGGGGACACGAGATATGGAAAGTTTCAGCGTAGTCGTCGCCACATTGCTGCCAACACTGCATATATAAGGAATCGCGAACCATTCACGTAAAATTTTGAAAACACATATTTATGGCAATATAGAACCTCTCTTTTTTTAACAGGAATATTGAGACTTAGACCAGTATCTTTTTAAGTAGGCATGTGGGGTAAAGAAGACGCAGAAGCTTCAGTCGGGTACCATCGGTAACGTAGGCGATTGATATATTTCCACCACTACATATGTTGGATTGGAATTTCCCATTTGCTGGTTTGACTGACTAAATGAGAAAACTTGGAGGTAAGCTCTTACGGAATTCTGTGGAAATATGTTTAGTAACATATTGGTGCATTACTCTGTCTTCCAGTCAGTTTCACATAAACTTTGCACGTATTATAGAAATGCCACCTACTTTTTTTTGTGTTAATATTATTGAAAGTAGTAGCTGGTAGCTGTAGTCGTAAGCCCAGAGAGTCTCTGTTTTGAACATAATACACAAAATGGGGCGTTCAAAAACAATAGACTGCATGCCTTTTAGAGTCGGCGTAAACTATGGTCATATACCCCTGCATTAAAAATAATAGTAAAATTTATTGTAGGCACCTAGTAGAGTATCGAAAATTTCCATTTTAGTGCCAAATTGGTTACTCCAGTAAATTCCAACTGTTCTAATTTTTTTTAAATAATTTATGATGTTAGTGAGTTTCATTGCAATTATTTGTTACTTAAATTTTCTGCGTATTAAACCTTAATTAACAATACGCTATTCGTTAACGCAGGTAGAATGAATGACGCTGACTAACCTGATTTTGTCCAGGGGGGCGTAGTACGGTAGTTTGTACTGTGATGTTTGGTAGTTTGGCAGTGAGCTCTCATTTATAAAACTGGGGAATGTTTCGTTATCTTCAAATCGTAAACACGTATCATTAGAATTATATTTTTAAAATATTGATTAGGACATGTACTAAGTAACTAAATGCTCTAGCAAAAATTTTCACACATATTGCGGAAAACGTACAAATTTATATTAGAGAAAATTAACTATTTTTAGAGGTTGGTTTTTCAAAAAGGCGGGGATTTAGTTAAAGAACAGATAGAGACTAAAGGGAAGCTCTATGAGAAAAGTTAGAATTAAAAAATCGATGTTTTCGTGTCATAGCGCAAGATGGATTATTATTAAAAATAATACTTGCATTAATTGTTGTCACCATTTGTGAAAAATATGGAAAATATCCTCTAGGTTCGCATACCTTTTTTTTAATTTTTTTTTAAGGTGGCTAACAAAATACACAGACAGAAAAGTTTAGATCCTGTTCGTTAATGTAGCGCATAGAAAAAAATTAGAAAAGAGAACGTTTCGTGTATGGCATTCGTAGTTAGTACGGAATATTAATCTGAAGGCTGCAAGACAGTGAAAGAGTGATGCGCTTAAGTGTGGTTCAGAGAGGTTATTTGGGCTGTAGAAGTTTTTCTTTGAACAGGGTTCAAATAGCGTCTCCTAGAGCGTTAGCAGAGAAGAGTATTACAGTAATTAGTATAAGCGTCCAGATTTCATTGTTGTTGAGATTGGCATAGAAACACACTTTTATGTAGTAGTAGCAGCAGCTTTAAAGTATATGACTTTTTAGTTAAGATGCCTTTCGAGTTTGCTTTATGGCTTGATAGGAAATTAAAGGGTAGATACAGATAAGTTACGAAAAAAAGTATGTACACTATCCTCAAAGATCAGCAATAAATAAAAGAAATTGATGAAATAGTAAAGTTGACTGCGATATCTTAAAATCATCAATAAGATAGATAAATTAATTTTGAAAATATTAAATAATAAAAACAAATAATAAAATAGCAAAGAAAATCAAAATCATCAATAAGATAGATAAATTAATTTTGTAAATATTAAATAATAAAAATAAAATTATAATAGCAAAGAAAGCCTACCACGGCCACATACACATAATATTTTCGACATATGAATTTTTCCCAGATAAATAGTCAAATATTTCACGATACCTTAAAACAGAAGCATGCGGAAATATGTATGAAGTTAACGCACGGTAGATGGCTTAGTAAATTAAAAAGGTATATGGTTTCTAATATCCTACTTTAATAATGAAAATTTTAACCAGGTTTTTGTTTTGCAGATATTATTGGTGGTGCCTGCCAGCTTCCAGTTTCGAGAAAAGAAATCCAACACTTTTCGTCTTTATTTCCCCTGTCCTTTGTGCGCAATAAAAGTACAGTTTGTACCCGCGAGGGTACACATTCGCAGAATTATATGTTTTTAAAATAAATGTTTTGGTCAATATTCACTAGGTGGGGATTACCTTATTAAAGAAAATCTTATTCCAAGAGGGGACACTAGTTTACATTCGAACCGCTAGAGGGTGCAGATGGTCACGCGAACAATATGATCAAGTCTCACTGACGCCATTGCTTTTCTTAGGGGTGGGAAAATATCTGGGCTCTGATTGGCTTCGCCGCCATCGCAAACTAGAGGTGGGGAGATTGATTAAACCCCATTGGTGCTTGCTTATCCAATGGGGGCCAGTTTCAAGAGATTATGGGTAAAGGGGGAGGAGCTAGAGAGTCGTGGGTAAGGAGGACACGCCCACAAAAGGGAGAGGAGTGGGGGACGGCTATAGTGTACCAATAAACTACTGATGTGACAATGTGACAAGACCAATCTTCTCTGGAAAGTCTCCAAACTTATTAATCGATATTTTGAAAGGGATTTTTACTGCAAACTGTTCCGTCTTGTCATGTGTTGTGTTTGCTTGCACCAAGATTCACAAAATTCTTCCGACTGTGATAACACTGCGTCTCTTTTCATAGGCTCTTCTAGAGGCCAAAATTTTGTGATTAGCGCTTCTAGCTGGTCTTCTTTTTTGTTGTTCTTTGGATAATTGCCTGAATAATAGTTGCAAGAAAAGTTCTGGACAATTGTCTTGCAGCACAATATGTTTCTCGCTACTATATATCCAAACGCACTTTTGTGCAACTTAGTCAAACTAACACCTAAGCTTTCTCTGTGCGAGTATAACGCTGACTAAAACACAGTAGAATCTATTAATATATCGGTTTCACCACACGTGTTGAACTTGGGGTCCGCTAAATGGTGTGTGGTTTTCTATACCGCGATCGCCTGGGAAGTCTCCACTTCCAATTGGAATGTGTACCCTTTAAACCTTTCATTTAATATTTTCCATGCTTCACTGACCTAACATGCAGAGCATCCTTCAGATACAAAAAAAAAATTGAACATCCCCGTACATTGGACTCGGCTCGATGTCGATCAAATGTTCCTTCGATAGCTCAGGTTGGACTCTATTACCGCATAAATGAATCTCAACCGAAATACATTATAAGTTGATTTAACGAGACATTACGCGTCGCTCTACTGACCGTGTTTATTTTTCAGTCGACCCTGCGTCGAAAGTTGGTTTATTTTCGACTACTACAGGGGATCGTACACCGTCACGAGACATTACACGTTGCTCTACTGGCCGTCTTTATGCACATAATGTTGTCGAAACGACGCACCACAAATCTTATTAAATTAAAATTAATTAGTAAACAGTTACTAAATATTAGACACCTTTACACACTAGCCTGGTAGATCTCATTTTCTTTGTTTTCTTCAAAATACAAGAGAACTTCTAATTACTTCTCTTCTATTAGGACGGCGTTTTCGATTATTGACTACCACTTTACGTTCAAGATCACAAACAATTAATTCGTGAAAAGAACATGTTTCGCGGAACCGGCCTTACCGGATACAACAACCTATATTCTTTTGGGGCTAATGCTAGACTCTCATTGTTTCTTATGTAATATTCTGTGTATTTTTGTCCAGGCAACAATTTGATTAGTTCTTTTTTTTTTTCATGAATATCTTGGAAAAATACGATGCAATTAGGAATGCTAGTGCGGATATTGAAACCGTACTACATGTTTACGGGGGTTAAAAAACGTTTTGTAATTAGTAATAAGTTCTATTTACTTGCGTTACTTGTCGATTTTCTATCGCATAAAGGTTTGATTTTGAAATCTATTTAAAGGTATACATAGTTTTTTTAATTAGAAGAAAACATTTTTTGATGGTCATTTGTGACCACCCGGTATAATATATTTTCGCCATGACAAAAAAATACTAACAATTCAGTGAATGATTAGAATTTTTAAAAATAAAATTGGTTACTGTCCTGGCACAACAGACCACCCTGTGTACATAAAAATGCTATAAATATAAGATATACTTAATGTCACACACTTTTTTATTTAACTTTTGTTCATCATTGTCGTACTGAATGAGATCAGGAACACCTTAAATGTGCCACTCTGACCATATGAACACGGTTTGAATCCCCTTCGGGTAAACTCGCAACCGTTTGGAGCTATTTTCGCCGTCAGTTGTCAGTTGTTAATACATGGCAGTTAACTATGCAATAAATTTGTTGTCGTTTGTGGTTTTTGAAATCTTATTATTGTTTTCCATTGTTCTTAACATTCATTAAGGGCATTTTTAATAATATTGCAGCAATAGGATGACATAACCAACGTTTAGCTGCCATTCGCGACCGTTTAAAGAAATAGTAACATATAGTAGCTCCACGTTATGCCATCTCTGTACTACAAGAATCGAAGTGGTATTTCACCAGGGAATATATTTTTTTATTTCTTGATGCCACTGGCACTTACTGGTGATTTTTACAAGAGCAAAGCATAAGAGTTCATCTCTATAGGAAAATTCAAGTTATACCATTCTTATTTCAAGCATTGGCGATCAGTGGGCTCGTCTCCAATGAAACTGACTGGATTTAGTATTAGGAAAAATTTTCCAGCTGCAAAATTTGTATATTTTCCATGAATTCTTTACTAGCACCTGTTCCACTAGTTGCCAAGTAATATCCGTGTGAACTTATATTTAAAATTAGATAAATAGATGCACCACTTTGCGGTATCACTGCCGCTGTCGAAATTATTTAGAAGCATTATTAAAAATATACTGTGATTGTGATCGAACGACAATCGCAGAAAAGGATTACCTATATATTATTATAAGAAGAGATAATTAGTTCGAAGACTTTCCTAGAGATTCGTATCGTATCGCAAATACCGAAGAACATGGCGGATACGATTCAAATTTTCATAATTCGGCCCGTGTTTAACTTATAGTCGAGGGTGTTAATTAAGTATGGGTAATTCTGCACTTTACGTATTTAGTAGAAAATTTTCACTGTACTCGCCAAATGATGCCGCTTGAAACTACTCTATTTATTCGAATAAATCAGGAAATTATACAAAATAGCAGGGATAAGAAAAACTGCGAGTTTTTTAATTGTGGTGTTTTATCTAATTATTATAACAGCTTCACAACGATAGAAATATATGTGAAAGCAGTTTGTTTTGGCACTTTAAAATTATCATGAAAACAGTATCACTTGCGACAATAGTATAAAAAGTGTAGCAGTGTAGATATTAGGACTTAACCTAGCCTAGCGTGCTATTAAATTTTGGGGATGAGCAGCCAAAATCTGTCTTAAAAGAAAATGGCTTATTGCCTCCCATTGTTGCAGGCATACTGTCTACTATTCTTAGGTAGATGCCTCCTGGCCAGATATTCAGTTGTTATATACGTGTGTCACAAAAGTCTAATTGGAAATTAAAAACCTTATAACAGCTGAAGTTTTCTGAATTGCAATTTAAATATAATTTAAATTGACTTATGTTTTGAAGGGATCAATTCTTCACCATCACGGCCTGATCATTTAAAATCATGTTGAGATCGACAATATCAATTATAAGTACACAAGCCACTATAGATTTTTTTAAAAATTCCAGACCAAAAATGTGCACAAGTTGCGAGTTGAATAAATTGAAGGTGTTGGTGTCTCTGACCTAGTACTACATAAGCGGCAGGATTACCTAAGTGTTTTGGTTGACGTGAAGGAATGATTTGTTGGTTAATTGCAAATCAAAAGTTCATTTAATTTTATGTTTGTTAATATTTAAAGCAAGTTGATATCTTCAAAGCAAATTGCTATCCGACTTTTTTATTTCACTTTAGTATGGCTCGAACTTCTAGAGGGCGCCACCTACATATTTCTTTTACTCTTTGGAAACGTCATAATTTTTTTGTATGTACTTGTATAACATTTATAAAAAAGATGCATTTTGTAGGAATCCTTATGAGCAGCCATAGATATTTGGACTTGTAAATCCACCCTAAATCCTAAAGCAAGAATAGCAGATATATAGCCTGTGATAGACAATACTAGTAAAATAAAATGCCGAAATGATTTTAGTCGTTCAATAAAAAAACTAAGTCAGCACAAGACAACATAATTGACAACGATACAAAAAAAGTCTAGTCTCAAAGAGTCAAAGCGTAGAAGCGTACGCGCGCGTTTTAACTTGCATTAGTACTGCTAAATCTAATGTTGCAAGACCTGAACGCAAAGCCCGAAAATCTCTAACATCTAGTCCCGACATTGTAATTTTAAATGCAGATAAAGGGAATGCTACAATAATCATGAAACCAACAGACTATCAAGAAATAATTCAAGATGTTCTTACAAACGAATCTTATAATTAATTATAGAACGCAGCCTCAAGTCTGCTATTAAAGCTCCTTCTTTAGTATCATTAAAACGATCCAAACGATATTTTGGCTAGCTTCGATGTAGAGTCTATTTTGATTAAAGTTATTAGTGCAGAACCTCAACATAATATATTAAAACCCCATATTTCACCGTTCATCGCAAATATTTTTCTGTAAGTTTTTAAGAAGAGTATCCCCTACACTTTTCACGTGAAACCAAAACTGTGGAGACGGACCGTTGATGATACTTTTGTTACTTGGCCGACCAAGGACAGTAAGAACACCGGAAAATGTGAATGCAGTAAGAGTTTCCGTACAACAGTCTCCAAGACGTTCAGCTCGTAAGCATACAGCTGCTTTGGGAGTTCCCGATAGAAGTGTTGGAAGAATTTTACACAACTCACTCCAAATGCATCCGCGCAAAATGATGGTAGTGCAGAAATTAAGAGCAAGATATTTTGAAACCCGTACAAATTTATGTCGGGATATTCTTCAAAACATTCCCAGAGGCGCTGTATTCATATCTAGCGATGAAGCTCACTTTCACCTCTCGGGTACCGTAAATAAGCAAAATTTCCGTTATTGATCAGCAAATGGTCCACAGGAACTTCATGAGTGTCCTCTTCACAGTCCAAAAGTCACCGTTTGGTGTGCAATCTCGGAGTTCGGCGTATGGGATCCTTAATTTTTCGAAGAAGATGGAATAATGGTAACAGTCGACGGAGATCGATCAAGACATCAAGACAAGACAAGAAATTGCCTCAATTCCCCAAGAAATGATCCATCGGGCAATGATGCGCTTCCGCGAGAACCTACAAGAGTGCATGGACAATAATGGCCGTCATTTAAAAGACATCATTTTTAAAAAATAACGTCCCTAGATGGCATAAAACGTACATTTCAAAAATAATTTAAAAAAAATGTTTGATTTATGTAGTTTGGTTTTTATTAACATCCCGAATAGTACCTATCATTTTGCCGCACCCTGTATAAGTAGGTAGAGAGTAAAATGTGCTGCCCAGCCCAAACACCAATCACCAGCCGCTACAGAACCAGTCGCTGCACACTAGTGGTGCTTATAATACCTTATCCGTAGACTTAAGAATAGGGTCATCAAAATGAAGAAATATGTCCACCTGTAAACCTTAATAAAGTAGTAGAATTGAAACCAGTTTCAGTTAAGCCCCGAAGAAGCGAAAAGGTTGATATACGAAACTTCGATTCTTCATCCACCGACACAGGAAAAATCCAGAAGATTTGTAAATAGTAGAAAGAATATGAGTTGGATTTATCATTTTTGATTAATTGATATCTTCCCATCAATTTCTTTTCTCTTCCTCTTCGGTATTTTCTGATCAACTTTTTTCTAATTCTTGATTTGAAAGCAGATGGTCATGGACAAACCGGGGAACAGTTTTCAGCGATTGTTTAGCTTTAACTGTTGTATTCTAATGTAATCCGTAAATTAAATTTTCAGTTAACCATGCACGTTTTTTGGTTTAGGTCGAAATGTTGGAAGAAAAGATTATATCCTTGGAGTTGACAAATCCGGAGACAACGGAGTTGGTCGACAACAGCTACCAAGACGAAGAGAAAGACGAATATGACGGGGAAACCACTTCCGAGT